TTTGTACACGTTTAATATTATGAAAATCAGACTCTTTTGTATATGTTTCAGAAATCTGAACTAGTAAGTCACTGGAATTGCCTTCCTATATATATGTAGTTTAACTCACGCTCGATCCATATTTATGAAAATAAAGGTCTAACAATGAACTATTGAGGAGAACGAGATAAAAGAAAGAAAAAGGTAGTGTTTTTTATCCGAGGCAAACTTAATTTGAAAATTACACACTCTAGATTTATAAATTAATTCTCGCACCGTTTTTTTTCAATATCTCACATAAGTCCTCCTAATTAGAAATTAGCTTATTGTCGATATAGACACATGCACCACTAGAATACAAGCTTAGACTAATTTTTTTGTTTCTTGAAAGCAAAACAGCACAGTATTATTAATTGACTTATAACTCAATACTTATTTGTCTATATCTGTCTTCCTATGAAATTTCGATTTCAAAATATTTCATAAAAATGTGGTTTTTATTACATATTTTATTTGTCCTCATGTATACATATGCTGCAGTTGCTGTCCGAATCAAAACGGCTTTTTTTTCTTATAAATTTTCAACCACGAACGCAAACATCGACGTTGGCAGAAAAAGAAAGAAAGAAAAATGGTGTGTGAATTACTTAAAAATTTCATTAGAGCATTTTATCTTGATTCATTCTCGCATAGAAAAGAAAATGAAAGAAATGTGAGTCGGAAGAATATAAAGAAAATATTTTTGGACATGAGTTCATAGAAAATTTATAATTAAATAGGCAACATAATCCAATCTATCATGGTTTTAGCCTTGTGCGAGAAAATTGCCAAGTTTTAGTTTCATTTTCAACTGGGATATAGAATTATATCTTGTAGACATGAGTGGCGTATGCCGAATACCAAGAATGTTCGTGGCGATGGCATTTTTATCAGATATTGAAGTCATCTTTTCATAAAAGAAAGTTTTACAATTTTTGGACAACGTCTTTCAAAGATAAAAAGATCTTGTTGTCAATAGTAAATGGGTGTGCTATTAGAAGGCAAAAACTAGAAATGATTTCATTACCATGCATGTCTTTGTCTTATGCAGACTTGCCATTAGACTAAAAATATGGCAATGGAAATATTTTTAAGATGTAATTTTGCCTAAATAGAATAGAAAACTGATGCGAGCATCGTTTTATCGACAATAATATTTATCAAATATGTGTCATGAGGTGATTATTGACGAAGAATGCGTGTCATGGCAGAATTTATTATGCTATTCATAATGTGAACCATGATGAGATTCGTTATGAAAAATTGGAAAAACTGAAAAGATCAAATCTAAAAGACGATATTTATATTGAGCGAAACAATATTAGGCTTCTTATGTTCATGTTTTAATTTGTGCAAAATATTAAAGTTTAATCTTTCTTTTTTACTTTAATTGAAGCTACAACAGATGGATCTCTTTAATAATACTCAGTAGATCTGAAAGAACCGCACATACATTTGTACTTTTCCGATTTCATATCTATACATTAACAGTTCAATATTATATTTCATATTCCTGATATTTTCAGTTGATGTTTAAAGGTAATTGTGTCAATGGAATATATCGAATATTCAGAGATGATACACGCTACGGCTTTCACGTATTTGTTAGTTTAATAGAACTCGCTTTAATCATGATAATTATGTTTTAATCGAATCTTACCATAATTTATTTCTTATCCATTGTAGTTAGCTTCCCACATTTTGTCTGCCTGACAAAGCCGATGCAGAAAACGACAATTTTCAAAAGAAAATAGCATTGATCAATCATGACTAAATGTAAATCGAACAGTCTACTGTCGTGTTTATTGTGTTGTGAACTCCAAGTTTGAACTATTGATCTTATTCTTCTCGTCGTCTTCTCCTATACGAATTGTTTTTTTTAGGATAATTAAGATGAATTTCATATTCGTAGATTTGTTGGCCACTGTTGGCTGCCAACATGCCATGACGATCATCTGTACTATTTTTGTTCTCTATTTGAACACCGTTCGCAGTCACCTGAATTTGGGCTCGTTGATCATCGGATCCTCTGAGGATAATTTTGAATTGTGCATTTTCATTATCAATTATTTCTTTATATTCGAATTTCACAGGTGTCGACTTGACATTTTTGAATGTCAGATGGACGGCGTACACGGCTGAGTGTCGTTCTTTCGAAATTAATTTTACTTGTCGATTTAATGAAACCTAAACGATAACATAATTGTACATAGAGAAAGAGAGAACAATGAACTCACATCAGGATCTTGACCGGAGCTGAGAGTGTGCTTGTCACCCACGGCCATGTCAGGCAAAGTCGTTACTCCGACTAAGCGACCCTGTTCTCGAATAGTCAATGGTCCACCAGGAAGGAATTTATCAATCGATTCAATACAATATTTTCGTTGTAACTTTCGTATTTGTGTATGACTACTAAAGGGAATTGTCAGACCGACACATTTACTTATTTGAATTATCGCATGGATGAATGGCAAACCAAATGTCGACTTTGGTAACAGAACAAATGATTTATCGATTGAATAAAGATAAAGACCTATTAGACACAGTGAGTTTTAAAGAAAAGTTTAGAATACAATATCTACAGAAGTGAGATTTACCTGCTAGTTCTCCTAGTGCATCAATAGTTGGTGTCACGCCGCAAGAGTCAAAGTCTTCCTCATATTCTTCAAAACTCCCACTCAAACTTCTGCTTATACTCCTGGATCGGTCACGACGTCGTTTTGCTCCGAGTTCTCCTTGTAAGTGCACATCGCCACTGAACAATTCTGTTCGGTTGATTCTATATTCTTGTTTTGTTCCATTCGTAATTTCTGCACATGCTTGAAATATGTGTCGACAATCATCGGATAGAATACTCAAATCGTACTGTGGTAACTAAGATATACCTTAAAAATTTCAATAAATAATGATATATTACATGAAAATGAACTGTAGCACAGTGCTTGACAATGATCTTTGATTGTCAATAATACAAATTATACTTGATCTCTCAAACAGATCGCAAATTACAAAACATAAATTAATTCAATCTGTCTATATAACAGTAGACTTTTATGGGCGTAATTGAAGAATAAAGCTAAGCAAAAACAATTTCGCTCTTTGCATGAGAACACAATTTTTTAACAGTTTACCTGAATTTTGAACTGTCTAAAGTGACTAGCATTATGCATAAATATATTTGCTTGTAATTCTGAAAAATCAAAATTTGTCATTAATTTTGACTTTAATTGATTTTCCTTCAAAACACGATCACTTTAGCTGAAACTGGTTTGAATAGGTTCTTTAATCATAAAAAATAGATCTAAGTTTATTTGCTTCTACAAAAGTGATCTGTCTCTGATAGGTTGCAGGCGTCATTTATATAGCAATGTCTGTTATCTACCTCATACTTTCAAATCAGAAGTTTGACCGTCTTAGAAAGACGATCGAAAATATTTTTCTAAAATTATTTTTTCATATTTGATACGAATTTTTCATTCAGAAGAGTGTTCGTTCTTACTTAAGGGGACCAACCCGTTTTTTATGTTTTCCGAGCAAGGTTAAACAAGAAATCCTGAAATTTTCAACCTAAACAGATCTTGGTTAGCAGAACAAAAGTCGTGCTAGACCCGAGAAAATCTAATGCTTTCTTCAGGCAAATATAGATGGTGTAAGTGGTAAAACGGCCAAACTCATTTCCTCCACTTCTAGCAGAATGCATTAGTTGATCAAGCTAAAGCTTTCTTACTCAAGTACTTCAAACAATTCCGAGTGACTGGTTTTTTTTTTGAGTTTCTTTTTTTGACTCAATTATTGAGGAGATAAAGTCAAATACGAAAAGTACCATTAAAAAAATGCCCTTTTTGACTAGGTCAAAAGGTGTCAAATCCATCCTAATGTAGCAAAACAGTATTTCGACCAACGGAAAAAAGAAGTCACTGAAAGTTATCGCAACTGGTTCGGGAGATAACTGAGCTCAATAGATCAATGTCTTGTGCTGGAAGTGGGAGACATACATTGTAACAGTCCCAGCGGAGTGCATTGTATGAGTAATGTGTAATGCTTCCTTACTATATATCTGTATCCTAGACATCGTCGTTGCTTCTTATTGTTGTTTTGATATCCTTGATATTTGTCCTTGTCATTCGTTCTCTTTCGTTCTCTCTAATGGTTGACTATTAAAGCATGTGTTTTACATGTAATCCGTACGATTATATGATATGAAGGAATAGAATAAAGTATAACTCCATCAGCACCAACATCCCTTCTATCAGAAATCGTCACGTACATGATTTTTTTTTAACAGAAAAACTTGTTCGGAGATATTCACAGAACAAATTTAAAGCAATGCTTCCGTGGTGTCTACAAGCTTCTCAGCTCTGTTTTTCAGCTTTTGAGGCAGATCGAGATACAGTACTCGGCTTTTCACAGTTTTCCTACTGTCGACTAATTGTTGCGATCAACTACAATCATACTCAATTTAGTTGGGTCGCAAGGATCATGTTTGACGAACTTTTTGTCCAACTTCGGCCATCTGAAACGAAAGTTGAACACATTTCGAAAATTTTTTCAACATTGTCAATCGATTTATTGTATTTTGCATGCTGTTATGTGAAGTTGTTTTTCTGTCTCACAGATATTGAATAGATCTGTGTAGATCTTCTTTCGGATTGACTTAAAGAAGCTCAAAATTATGACAAACAATTAGGATATTATATGGTCAACAAGTAAAGGACACCTTAATCGGTAGATAAGAACAAACAAAGTCAACTTGGAAAAAACCTAAAATTTTGGTTAGAGAAAGCGGGGTACCCTTAAAAAAATAAACATTCGAAGAAATCTGACTGTCTGAAAACGGAATTTCGTTACTTTAGAATCGATAGGATTCAAATCGAAATTCATTTTGTAATCCTATTTCTTTTGTAATGAGCTTAACATTCGATTAAAATTAATTTCGGATTACCATATGGACGCACTTTTAAACAAATGTTTATGCCATTCGATTATTGATGTGACTCACCATGAATTTGATAGCTCAATGTTGCTTTGCCTTGTTGTTTTAACACATATGTCACTTCAGTTCCTTCCTGTTCCGGAATGGTAACATATTCGAGTTCGTGTCGTTGAGCACGAAAATATCGTTTTGTTTTGATATTTTGTAAAAGAAGATCATCAGCTTGAATAACACGACATTCTTGAGGTTCTTCGCTTGAGTGACGTTGAACAAAGATCGTTTGATTTTCAAGATTATTTGCTTTGTGAACGACTTGTTTCGATTCAATCGGAATACCTTCGATCGATAATGAACCTTGAACAATATTCGCAAATACATCCCGTGAAAAATACATTTTGAATTTCTATATAAATGAAACAAAACTTGTTCTAGATTAGTTCATTCGACAAGCCAAACTTACCTCTGGTACATTGTATTGCTGACGAATTTCTGTGAATGATGGATAAATACGTAATTCCGTAAAATTCGGCAAGATCATTCCTGTATCAGCCAACATGATGGTTATGAAAAAGACAAAACTCGAGTGAGAATGTCGCGTCAGCCAATGCTGTGCTCCGGTTGTAAAATATTTATCTTACCTACCATGATTGCTTTATAATAAGAACAGAATTGCACAACACGTGCGTCAGATGCGAGAGAAACAAATTGCATAGACCTCCACGTCGTAATATAAAATGATGAATCATACGTCTTGCTTTCCCGAAAGATAGTTATAATATTTTTCTAGAATTGTTCTTAATAAAGCGAGAGTACAACGGAATATTTTCTGTCTTAAATAATTTTGAGTTGCATAAGTGTGACAGAAAAGAAAACGAAAAACTGATGTCAACTGATTCTTGAGCGTGGCTAATCGTTTGTCATAATTGAACGAGTGAAATTTTTTAATTCGATTTATTTCCATCAATGAATGCTATCATCGTTGTTGACAAATGAAATTCGTTCGATTCAATACTTCAAACGGCGCTTCAATCAATCGAGTTGTTCAACGATTGACACCCGACTCTCTTGCTAACAGCTGTCGTACCTTTTTTTTTGATAAACAGAACTTTTGCTTGGGATTTCCACTGTAAATTAGTTTTTGTTCATCTCTCAAATGAATCTGCAGTGTGCTGTTCTGATTTGTTTACATTATACACATGCTGACTTTAAAATTTATGCATTGATTTCAAATAACAATCGCTTTTCTCAATAAAAAAAGAAGATTGTGAGTGGAACTCCTAAAGGGTTTAAAGTGTAGAGTTTGCACACAATGACTGTGAGAATAAGAGAATGTGGGTGAGTGATAAAGAGAAGACCCACATCAGCCCCGCACTCGCTCACACTCACACCTACACATTCACACGCTTTTCGAAAAAATACAAAATTTTCGTGTCAAATGATCCATCGTTCATCGATGACCATATCATCGCCTTCTATTACACTGTATATATTTCATACAATTATGTGCGAATATAAGCTGCCACTTTTCACATCTCAGCTGCTCATCTATGTGCCATTTCTATCCAAACCAACCCTAAAGATTAATGGGAAGTGAGCGTCACATGAACACTATCCGGAAAATTCTGTTAACACTTGTGCTCTTGTGGCGTAATCGGTTAGCGCATCCGGCTTCGAACCGGGAGATTGATGGTTCGAGTCCATCCAGGAGCTGTTCTCTATTATTTTTTATGTGTCTGTCGAAACAAAATTATGAAATATCTTATTTATACGGTGACTGTCTCTCTACACTTAAAAAAAGGTATATGACCAAATTTTTGAGGTTTCGTCCTCATATAGGGAACCTTTTCAGGTATCGTGCGACTGTACCAAGCCTTTATAAGGTTTCGGGAAAAGTATAAGTGATTCTTCTCAGTCGAAAAACATTTCGTATCAAACCTTCTAGAGATCTCACTGTTTAGAGATTTCGCATGAAACCAATCTTTTTCCTTATATCATCTATACCAAGAACATATGTTCTCCAATCAGACAGTGGAGTGATCTTACAATCATTGGTCCGTTTCTGCATTTACATAGACGCTACAATCCATTCTGGGTATTGAACGACAGCTCTCAGACTTCATGTATCAAAAATGAGCACTACTGTTCAGCAAAGAACTAACATCTTACGGCTAGATAAAGACATTAAGATATAGAAATAATGTTTTAATGATAGACATAAGCGTTTAAATTTACGAATGAGCTGTTAAGAATGGGTTTAGAGGTTCAGTTTAGAAGTAACGCGATGAACAATAGATATCATGAAATTGACTTAAGAATAAGCTGTTAAGCATGCATATAAGCGTTTCGATTTAGAGATAAGGAGTTAATGATCAATATACAGACTTAAACATAAATACAAATGGCTAAGAGGTTATATGAAGGTTTACAAACCGCAATAGGCAGCTACGAATAGATATAATGCTAAAGATACTGGTGTCAGGGGTTAACGGACAGATTTAAGCATTAAGGTTAGATATAAGGGTTAAGGACAATTAGAGTAGCTTCAATATAGAAATAAGAGGCTACGAATAGATATGAGGGGTTCGAAATATAGGTAGCTTAAGTAGGTGTTTGAACGTGGATAGATGAACAGAATCATATTGACTGAAACGTAATAAGAAACCGATACATGAAAATCTATTTTGAAGCAATTGAAGTATAAGATGTGTACGAAACCCTGCTGATACGAAACTTTAAAGGGTTTCGATTTGATTGCAAAAATTGGAACACTTTTGGGTTTCGTATGGTACTTTTTTTTCAGTGTACGAAAGTAATTGCAACACATAAATATTTCATTATTGTTCTGTTTCCTTTCGTGCAGTGACTTGCATTGGAAAAAAAGATACTGTGCAAACTGAATCACTAGCATACATATTTGACAATCTTATGATCAATTAGACTCAACTTAAAAGAAAACAATGAAATATGTATGATGAAATTACTGCTTCAGTTCTTTTTCTGAATGATTTATTCCATAATAACTCATGGATAAAAAGAAATAATGGAGAATTGCTCTTGGACGGATTCGAAGAACACATTCAACAATAACGATGATGATGTTATTTGACTGCATCTTACTGATATATGACAAGCAAAATGCTTGGAAATCACAATTAATGAGCAAAATCAAGCCGCCAATCCCCCGGTTAAAAGCCGGATGCGTTATTCACTTCCGCCACAAGAGCATGAGTCAATAATAATGGCAAGGTTCTTGAATATTACAGATCGGATAAGAATATTTATTTGGGATACAGTTGAACCTGTGGCGTTGAGTGATCTGACAATACACCTCTGTACTACCAAACATGTCCATATCCACACCCATCTTTCTTCTTTTTGGGTCTTTATAATGAGTTCTATGAACAGCCTCAGGCGTCTCGAGTCAAGCCGATCACTGGCGAAAACTTTTGTACTAGTGAAATTTCTCCTCGACTGATCAAGTGACACGTAGGTTTTTTGTGATTTTTCTCCGTATTTATCTCTATAAAGTGAAGGGATGGGCTTTGAATGAAGTGTGGGTTCATGTGAGGGTAGAAGCATAGAGTTCACTGACAATCACATCAACAGCCACACCGAGACCCACAGCCACACCGAGACTCACACTCACACCCTTCTACAAACACGATACAATTAGAACTGATCAATTTCACTGCTGCACTATACTTTCACTATATTGAGGACATATTCCATCTCATTAACTGTCCCGTTCGACATCTATTCAGACAGATTGATAGGAGCAATCTATTTGTTTAAACTATACAATTGTCAACCAACACAGACTCACTAGATATTTTTTAGATTTACAAGTAGCAAAGGAAGATAAATGTCTATCGAAAAACAATATCCTTCGAGCAATTAGTTGTCGCTACTCATTTCGACTGTTATTATATGAATGCAAAAAGCTACCGATGGTCTGATCCTTATATAAATATCAGAACACCATATTTTCTCAATCACTATTTCAAAAGGCTGCTAGAAAAAAAAATGAAATTCTCATAACCGTCGACAGAGTAACTCAGACCAACTGCAAAGCTGCGTAGCGGACCATATAACTTATTTGGGATCTTCGGATCATTTGAATAGTCCTACATCCATCATTGGCCTCATGGAGTGGTCTGACCAATGGTATGATTATCGACATAGTGTATTCGTTGAAAATGATTCACACTTTTGAATAAAAACACGCAGTTCATGTATCACCTCGTCCAAGATATGTTCTATGACTGAACGTAGCTACCCTTCACTTAGATACAGATAAGGAGAAAAGGATACAGTTATTCTTTTTGGTTGATCATCGATGCATTATGATTTTATTTTTAAAAGAAAAGCATATTTTTATTGGTCTTTGAGTGGTATTGTTTTCAGATAGTCTAAAACTGAAGGATATGTCAAATGTTCGCAAGCCTCATTTCTCTTAAGCTCTTGCCGGATTAATGTCGAACTGATATCGTCTAATTCAGTCGTTGATATTTTTATGTGTTCTTCATTTGCTGATACATAAAATACATTTGGATCATTTCGGATTGTTTTAGATGTTACTAGCCGTTGATCTTCACCAGGGCGATAGATGACAGCAATACCACCCTGCGGTTTTCTTAATGACCGCAAACCCTTGTAACGATTAAATGAATCAAGACCAACAACATAAATAACGCGAATAGCCTTTGGTAAGTTCAATTTTTTATTGACGTACTTGTAAAGACTTTGCGTTACTTGCCCGGGGCTCTTAAATCGTGGAGCTAAAAGAATAGACAAGGTCACTAATGATCTGTGGATTATTTTTCTAGCTTTTTTTCATTCAGTAAAAAGTTTTCAAACAAAACATTTCCTCGTTTTTCGATCATTCACAAGGAAAAAAGAACACGTATTATGGTTCGTATCAAGATACTGTGCTCTTTCCAAATATATGTTCAGAACCCTTTCTGACTTAAGATTATCTTATTGTGGGCAAAGTTCTTTGCAAGAATTGAAAATAGTATTTGTACAAAGCTAAACTGAGGTTTTTATGCTATACATAATTCGAATAGATTGTAGTTTGAAATGATTTTAACTAGATATGATTGTGGAGTATTTTATTCCCAAAAAAATGAGGCATAATCTTAGTTATTTATTAAATTCAACAGATTGTAAATCTTGGTTCTGAAGGAATGAAGAAAAGTAGCTGCGATATTTGATAGACAAATTCACTCTACAAGAGTAGGTGATCAAGAGGTGTTTCATATTTTGAGTAGACTGAATTTCAATCAATATACAAAATATGATAAGTAAAATATCTGTAAAAACTTCGTTGTTGGGCCTTAAAATGAATAATTCATTTTAGAAATCCGTATTATTATATACTGATTCATATCTTGTGTTTGAGAATTAGAGATATGCATCGAAATCAATTTCCTACTAACGTAGTTAGGAAACCAGTAGCTCTACTTACCCATACACTCAGCCCTATCAACACTCAACCAATGCTCTTGATCTTCTTCCACAATGACCTTTTGACACATTGCAATTCGATGTTCACTGTTGATGTAGTCTTCAGCTAATTTCTCTTGAACATAGTCATTATGACTCAGCGAGAGATATCCTCCTATCACATTGAAATGATGTACTTGCTCAAAATAGTCCTTCGTCTTAGCCATTATCGATATATGACTGCGATGAATCGGATTCATAGCACCGGTCATGATTAGCACAACATTTTCGTGATGCGATGTCCTATGATTCAGATTTGAGTGAATAATCCATATATCGGTCGTCGATTCGGAATTCATATTTGAAATCGAATGCGGCACTCTTGTTGTGCGTTGTTCAAGCGTAAATGAATCTCTGTCTTCCTCTCGTAGGAAGTCGACCACACAAAATGTTTTTTTTCTCATTTCTTTCCCATGACACACAATGTCAACATCTTGTTAATAGACAAAGAGAAACGGAAAAAATGCAGAAAAATACCCATTTCATACATCGTTCGTTGAATTTATTTTGCATTATGCAATATTACAATCACTAAGAAAAAAGCCAACATGATGTTGGCAATGTGAAATCTTTATTTTTCTCCATTTAACGACTGATAGAACAACAGAAGTTACTAAAGTATCAATCAGTTCTCTTTTCAAGAAAAAGAAACTTTCTGTAGATAGAAAGCAATTGAGCGAAAGAAAGTGGTTCCTTTTCTCTCTGAAAACGAAGTTGAAAACCGTTCATGGATTCTTTCTTAAAAAAGGAACAGATTGCATGCAATATGAACAGACGAAGGTAAGTAATCCAAACAAGAAATAATTTTCTAACTTATCTCGTGCGCTGGTCCCACGTAGTCATTGAGAGAAGTATTATTGTTTTCGAAAACGACCATTGGGAACAACCAAACAGATCCAATAATTACATGAATTTGTTATTCCATCCACACGCCAATATTTAGAAAACTTGTGATGCTTGCCTTTCTGCAGCCGCCAAGGCGGTAGCCACTTGATCTCCTGCTTTTAGAAGAGTTTCACTTCTTCCAGAAGAACACAATTTTGTTCTTACATTCTTTCATAGGGTAAATTTGTTGAAAAAAATCGACCCATTTTGTTTGTCTCGCTGTGTTTACCGTTTGTTTATACCCCGAGTAATTTTCATTTATATGAAAACTTAAGTTGTTCGTGCTAGACTGTCTGAAATTTTGCTTTTCGGTTAGTCCTCTCCGCTCGACGGTACCATTTGCAAATATGTGCATGTTTAAGATTGAACGTTTATATTCAAATTCTAAATAAGACAGTAACAGTAAAAATTTATTATAGCACAATGAAATTGAAATATCAAGAAGTTCAAGGTAATTTATTTTCGGCTTCATCGACAATATCACTTGCACATTGTGTCTCAGCCGATATGAACATGTCAAAAGGAATTGCAACGCAGTTTCGTAACCAATTTGGACGTATTGACGATCTCAAAAGACAAAGTACGTTCTTGTTCAATAAAATAAACAATTTTGTTTTTCTGTATATTTGAAAAAAAAAGTTCATCTAAATCTATTGATATAGTTTTCTCTTTCATTTAATCGTCAAATTAGTGAAAATCTTCACTTTCGATAGGTTTTAAGTTTCCTGAAAAAGAAGAAGTTATAAAAAAAAAATAAGATAAATTGTATTTTGATGCATAGATATTGGAGTCGGGGGTTGTGCTTATATATATGTCGAAAATCGCCATGTATTTTACTTGATTACAAAACAACGATATTTTCACAAGCCAACATTGAAAACATTAGAAGCAAGTCTGATTTCGATGCGAGATTTATGTATTCAAAACAATATTAATCAATTGGCGATGCCATGTATTGGTTGTGGTTTGGATAAACTTCAGTGGTCACAAGTAAAAGAACTGATACAACGTATATTTGGACAAGTCGATATTGAAATCACTATTTATGTGAAAAATGGTCCTCCTACCGCAGCACCGTCTTGGAAACGGCGTGGTATTGCTGCAACTAGAGATCATAAGGGTCGGAACGAAACCACGCCAGAACCGGAACCATATGTAAAGAGATCGGGACCAATCAACAGCGCGGCCCAACAATAAAACATGATTGCTCAACATTTAATGAATATTGCCACCTGTTATGCTGCAAAACAAATTCACCCTTATTATGTAGTACTTCATGTATCATGCACACCTATATGCATCAGAAAAGCATCGAGACTAGAGATTTTTTTGTTGAATGCGACAATAGAGTTATTGAAATAAAATAAAGTCATTAATGATATTCTATTCACTTAAACCCACACTGGGTAGGCATTCAATCTTCATGGAAAACTTTTAAATACAGTAGATATTATGAAAAGTGCGATTCTTTCCTATTTGGGAATTTTCAACTAATTGTTGAAAATCAATCAAAAACTAACTGTTTCTGACTACTTCCACATTTGACTTCATGACGATCGAAAATTTCAATTGACTTTTGGTGTGAATTTCGAACTATTATATATAAAAAAAAATTCACAAAAATTTTCTATCTTTATTGATAGGAAAATTGTCGCGAGCATTTTCTCCATATCTTATATTCTTGACTTTTGTGCAAAATATGAATGTTTATTAGTAAAGACTAGTAAATCATCATTTTTTTTTAGAAATTATAAACATATTTAAATCAACTCAAAACTCAAAAAAATTAACTCGGTGATCACAAAATGGTTTGTGAACGAATCGATATGCATTTTAATGACGAGTTTCCTATTATTGAAAAATACTCAGGTAATCTATGGTACATGGGTATATCAGACGAAAAACGTTTCAAAAACTATCAACTGATTGAAGCAATAGTTGGTTTCCTACTAGCAATCGTATCTCTTCTCAGTAACTTTCTAGCATTGCAAACATTTTTATGTAGTGAAAAGATTCGCATTACAAATTTAGGTGTCTACCTGATATTACTTTCATTTTCGTGTTTGATTGTCAGTGTCATTCGTGGAGTGTTTGCATCTGTCACTGCTTTCATTAGTACTGCTAAATTGGGAAACACCTATAATTTATTTCAGTGTGCTGTGATGCGTTTATTTGCATCTTCATTGATCTACTGTTTTCTCTGGCTAATATTGTATATTGCAGTTGAACGGGTTCTTATCGAATATTCATTTGTCAGTGTGTACGATTCAAGGCGACGCTCTCTCACTTCTTGCTTATGTCTTTATATTATTGTGTCAGTAACAAATATTTTAGTAAATATTTTTGGTAGGAAAGATAGTTATTCTTTCGTTGATTTTTGTCAGTTAAACTTTACCTCTACTGGTTACATTTTCTATTCTATTCTTCGTTGGATCAATTATTTGGTTGCACCAATTGCATTATTCATTTCGTGTCTTGTCATTTTACATCATCTTATCCAACGGCGACTGTATTTCGTAGCTGACAATGGCTCACTAGGTTCCTCAATAAAACTTATCATATTAAATCATCGAGACTTCATTCTCCAGCCACTTGTATTTACACTCTGCGTGATGCCATATTTTATATCAGGTCATTTTATGACTTGTACAAAAGCAAATACCCATGTTGCTGGAAAACTGAGAACAATTTTCGCATTACTCTCCGATTCGGCACTGACAATGACGTTTTTTACTTCGGTTAGTTCATCAAAATTTTATATGCAAGAATTTTGGAATACATCGTATGTTGGACAATTCTTACTTTATATAAAAGACAGGTCATGCACTGACACCAGAAGAAAATTATCCGTATCTTCCCTATCATCGGATGTTTCCGATACAGTTGTTTAAAACACGTGATTGAGTGATAAATGTTGTGTTCTATCATTTGTAAAAGAACTTTATTATAATGGTTTTTTCAAAACAACATTATTTATTCAGCTTTTATCGACATTTTTTGAGCTATTTTATAAGAATATATCAACGACAATATCGTTTATATATGACATTTATCTACAACAAGACTTTTCTTCGTGTTAAACTATCTTCTATTGAACAGAAATAAAAACTTCTACTTAATCTAAAACTTTTATTAGAGTATGGATGTGGGTATGGGATGTGGATGATATGAATACTCACATCCATACCCAATACTTCCCAGCCACCCACACCCACACCCTAAATTTATACACATATCATTCCATCTAAAAAATAAAAATTTTCGGATGGTAACAGTTGTATATTTGTCATGGGCTCATCATTAACATACGTAATAACTTGTTGTGGTGTAAATATTTGATCATAAAAAAAAGAAAAGTATACAATAATAATCAGGTTCATTAAGTCATGTCAGAAATAACTGTCCCATTTTATGAATTGTTTTATTTAAATGTTTTCACATGCCGTATATTGGACGATCAATATTTGTTTTTTTTTTATTCCGTTCATAAAAAGAAATTTAAGATAAGGAGAAGAAATAGATAATTGACAAAAATAGTCTTTTTTATAGATTTAGATTTGATGCAAATCGACGTTGTTGTCGTTAATAGATAATAATGAGTTAGGACTTGTTAATGTTTGTGAAGGATGACATTTTAATAAAGTTAGAACTGTATATTATCAATAGATAATTCTTCCATTCGAAAAAATACTTTTGGACACGTGTAATTCAGATAGACAAGATTTACTAGTTGTTAATTGACGAGAACAAGAAGGAAAACAATATGGTATTGATACTCTTTATTTTTTCGGATATAAATAAATAATTATTATTTGATAATGAATGCATGCAGATGAAATCAATTTTGGTTGAGTATCATGATGATTAGAAAATAATTCTTTAGATTTGTTGACATGAAGATGACGTTGAATGAGATTCTTGATAATAAAGATCATATAATTTTTGTATTAGTGTTAGATAAAGAAGTGAAGATCGACATAAATGAAAATAAGGATTAGCACTGTATTTTCTTTTCGGTAACCAGTCTTCACCTCTTAAAACAGTTGAAAAATGATATGTTCAAGACGAAGAACGATCTGGTGTATATCTATCATTAAGTAATATCCAAAAAGTTCGAACAGATTCATTGCCTTGTTAATGATGACCTTCATATAACAATTGAAGGATTTCAAACCCAACCTTAAAATTTTCGTTATGATGTATGATTCAATAGAACAACTTGTGTTCTACGTAATTTCTCTAATGTTTAGCTAATTTTATTGTTCAATATATTATTAGCAAGAGCACTACAAACATCATTAGATATTCTAGTAGAATAGATATTTCATGTTGGAAAATTGTTTTCGTCGTCTTCGATGTATATTTCGATAACAAATAGACTTTGTTGTACTGTTTTCTTCATACATCAAAGAAAGGACAAGTTGTTTTAACAGTGCCAATTCGTAGAGAATCTTTTCCTGTACGAAACTCTTATATTTGAAATCATATCAATTAAGTTGTATTGCTTTTTTTACGCTATGAATATCAGGAACAGAAAGCTTACAGGAGTCTTAACAACAAACTAAGCAATGATCTCACTAATTAGTACATCCTTGTTTGATGAGATACATATCCACTCTGTTACTGGGATTGCAATAATCTATCTTTTACTTCTGCTATTTATGGTGTAACAAAGGTAAAGAACTGAAGAGATGTAATCGTTTTTAATTTCAAATATAAGAGTGTCACAACGAAAATATTTCCTACAAATCCATGCTGTTAAAACAACTTCTACCATCTTCAATTCATAAATAAAAAAGTACAAGAATGGCTATCTCTGTATATTCTAACACTCCGTTCTTGAGATCATCTCAACAGAAAATAATAAATTCTGATGCTCATGTCTGATAAGTAAAGAAAAAGAAAAAGAAAACTTATAAAGGACTACATAAATGTAGTGCTCAGCAATCTCAATTGTCGGCAATAGGATTTCAATTAACGTAAGAACGATAACTGATGTCAAATCAAAGTCGCTTCTGTCCTATTGAAGATTTTCATTATTTCTTCTTTTCACAGCAGCTGACTGGAGACTAGCTGACCATATTTAATTATCTTGACTAAAAAAACGGAGACCAAATCGTCAAAATCATCGTTTTGCGGAATTTACTTGAATTAAACGAAACTTATTATTGAAGATTCAAAAACGTTTGTATAACTTCGAGCCATAAATCTTCCTGATATGATTCAAACGAATTTCTAGCTACTTGCCGTTCTGTAGAACATCGCGACACAAATTTCAGATTTTGTTATAACTGTGTCTTTCTTTTGAAACGCAGCTCAAAGCGGACGTTTTTTTAAAATGAAAATATCGTATCAAGGATGTAGTTGCTCTGATTTAGACTTTACGATATTTCTGATGTCTATTAGGTGTATCTATGAACAGAATTTCAGCTCGAAATTCAATCATTCAAGTTCTCAACGATTCTATGACGGTAGAGCAAAAATCGGATACAACGCCTATAACTAAACTAACGAATATCGAAAAATCAAACGAAAACAAACTTTTTTACTATTCATTATCACCGGTCAAATAACAATAGTCTCAAACGAAAAACGATTTTTACAGTTGTTGACGTTCTTTCATCATACATAAAGATCAATCAAATATGATCGATTATAAACGATAGTTTTGCATATCGTATAGCACAAAAATCTTTCCCTACAGTTGAATCTAACTAAACAAAGTTATTTCTTAGTCAGACAAATAAAATTTCAATAGTTGTCATTATATTTAAATAAAACCACACAACCAAAAAAAAAACAACCGGGTTATTTCTATGTGTCAAATAATAATAATAAAACTTAGTCAATCTGTTGATAATTATCAGATTTCATTGTCAATAACTGTTGTTGCTGTTGTTTTTGACTTAAGAAATCATTTAATTGATAAAATGAAGGTCGATCATAATCACATTTATTCCAACATGATAAAATTAAATCTATTAAATCATCTGCATATGACGGAATAATTAAACAATGATTAGAATTTCGTAAATTAAAAAGAACTTGTTCATCATCGAATAAACTATGTGGTCGTTCAGCCATAGTTAATATTTCCCAAAGAAGAACACCAAATGAAAAAACATCAGATTTTGATGTAAATCGATTCTGTAAGAAAAAAAGAAACATTAGTTTTCTCAATAAATAATAAAAGATTT